AGGTGACTTCTTTTCCTTGTAGAGGAATGCACTGGGCAAGTTCCTCTGCATTGAGCTTTTCGCTGAGGTAGTACAAAATGTCCTTGTTGTTGGAGGCAAACTTGAAGGTCTTCTTGATCTTCTGACCCTTGGAGTTCGTGGCGCCATAGGCACCGGAATGACATGTCGTGACCATACCATTGGTCTCCTGCAGCATTGCCACAACTGAGGGTTCTTCCCACAGACGGCTGTTGTTGGGGTTCTCGATCAAGTAGAATCTGCCTTCACTATTATGTTGTCGCTTGCACCAGTCCATGGTCTTTTCAACTATCGGTCTCTCTTCTTCACGACGTTGTTCAAGAAGTTCTGGTCTTGTGTTCTAGTTCATATTCTCCTGCATCACAAGCCAGGGTGTGCAATGTATGCTGGCGAGCAGAAAGAGAGGCCGAAGCGTCTGCAACATCCGGTCACAGGCTACTTGTGAATCATGTTGAGAAAGGTCATAGCCGGTGTTATAGTCAATCGGTGTGGTAGCTGTCAAGCCATAGCGCACTGCAGTCTTGGAGACTGTGCCACTCCCGGCGAAGATCTCCATGATATCAATCTTGGAATGAGTTGCGCGATGCTTTGTAGCTAAGGCTTCATAGGTCTTTTGTTCTGTCTGGGCAGCATGGATGGCTTTCTTGATCCTGCCCAGGATGAACTTCTTGTGCCCCTTGTAGTTGCTCTCAAGCTCTTCCTGATTCAATCTACCGGCCACTCGTAGAGATCTGCCTGGCTCATCGTCTCCACGGACTCCATGTCTGTCATGTCGAAGGTCTCTGCGGTGGCTGGAATGCGTCCTTGAGTCCTCATCATCGCACTTTCCATGGCGGCTCTGACCTGATTCTCGTGGTCGTCCATATCCCGACCATACTGGAGGAGTTCGTCCGCCACTTGATTGTGCAAATTCCAGGAGCCAAGTCGGTGGTGGAGGATTCATATTGGCGACTGAAGGCGTCGCTGAAGAGCTCGGGGAGGACTTCGGTTTCGGGAGTGCCTTCTGTGAAGCTCCTGGTGGTGGTCCCGACATAGGCTTGCTCCTGGGCTTCTGTGGATAGGTATTTGAAGACGATGGAAGCGGCAAAGAAGATTTTGCCGAAGATGCCCGTCCAAGAGGATACCATGTTTCTTCTTCCGGTGACCACTTCATCCTCGTGTGGCATAGAGTGCACTTTGCGAAGCGACCGTGGGCATTGCCGTACCTGGTCCACTGAGGGCGCGAGCATTGACCCACGTCCTTCAACGGCTTGGTCATGGCCTGAGCCACAGCTTTTTCCATCTCTTCCTGTTCCACCTTGTCCTGGAGAGTCAGCCAGGATCTTGGTGCCAGGCCAAATCGAATTGCTCTTGACATCGCACGGAGTGCCAGCATCTCGAGGCGGAGGATCATGTGCAGAACCCGACGCCAGTTCACAAGCCATGATGGTGGTGTCTGACGAAGCATCCTGGACGGTGAACACTCCTGATGTATCTTCGGGCCTCAAGTACTGCTGGTCAAGAATGCCTTCAGCGATGATCTCCGGATGAGGACACGTCCAAATGTGTGGACTGCTCAAAAACTTCCAAATATCATGCTGAGATGCACAAATTTCAAAATCACAAATTGGAACCGCTAGATGTCCGTTGACCTTGTGAATGGCCACTGTGACTCCGAGATTCTGAAACAAAACAAGTTGCTTGCCCAGATCAACTATTGCTCCAACAGTTTCCAAAAACGTGTTTGATGCCAAAAGTGGAACGCCTGTCTCAACAATGCTTGCACCCAACAAAGAGTAAACTCCACCAACACTTGACGGCAGGTAGGCTCGGGCCTTGGCTCGAATTGGAGAGCCGCGGCCAAACTGGAAAGCCTCGGACGCATCGACGAGTCGTGGTCGAAGTCGATGTTGGGCGAGGATCTTTGTGTGCTCATCTAACCAGGTTGCACCACAACACATACGCTGGCATGCTGCGTCGAGAACCATGTAACCACAAAGGCTGGTTGAATCCGTGTACAAAACCTGGTTGGTAGAAGAGTCGGATGGGAGCATGTTGATCATGAAGCTGAAATAGTTGGGAACCTCGGGAACTTCATCTGGTAGTTGATGGGGTTCAGAACCTTGATCCGTGATGGTGGTGAAGAGAACCTTTTTGGTCTTACCATCGAACTGCTGCGTGTCTTTAGCTTTGCCGTTGGCTTTGACAGAGGACTTGGAAGTCGACTTTGCGCATTCCGTCACCGGCCCAGTGGCCGATTTGTCCACACGCAGAACAACTGCTTGTTCTCTTTCTTTCTTGGATCGTTCTGGTTCCGGTGTACTTTCTTCCCAATGTAAGGGATTGTAACTTCTTCGCTGTGACAGTCAGGACGTCGACAACAGCGGAGAGATCTGTTTCCTCATCAGCGTCGTCGTATGCAGCTTCATCCTCTTCGGGAGGCTGCTCATCGTCTTGCCAGTCTTCTGCGTCGTGAAACTCTGTATTGTCATCTTCTTCGTCGTCATTCTCCTCTGGAACTGCTTCCAACTCAACTTGCTCTGTGGCAAATGCTTGTCTAGACTGAAACTTGTTCTTGCCCTTTCCTTTCCCCTTAAAGGAAGAAGAGGACGTAGCGGTGGTGGAGCTTGCGATGCTGAAATGCTTTGATGGGCTGACCATCTTTCCCAAACAACTGTGGAGGCGATTTGTGTTCTGGGAAAGTCATGCACAGACTCTCAGCTATGGACTCGAAGGTGAGATTGAAGTTCGACCCGATCAAAACCAATCGACCGTTCTCCGGCGAAAGCCGGGCACGTTCGAGCAGTCTGTTGCCCATTGCTTCACTGTCATACATGCCACTTGGGTTGACGCCGATGCTCTGCAGGGATCGCTCTGCCCTTCGGTATCTGTTCACGAAGGCACGCATGGACTCTGAAGGCTGCCGAACTATTGTTTCAAACTCGCTCATGAGCTTCCTTTTCTGGTAAATTAGCTTGGTTTCAAGACCTTGGCGAAGCAGGCTCTCAATGTAGTCGATGCCGTCTGAACGATGCAGGCGATCAAGATCGATGTGCTCCAGCTCTTCTTCCGGTTCACCAGAAAGGCTCGTATACAACATCAATGCTGCATCTTGTAGGGGCATATATGCTTGGATCTGTTTCTTCCAAACTGCCAGCTTCTTCTGCCACTTCGGAACCGACCGGATGTCATCACGAGAGTACTTCCATGTAGGAGGGTTTGGAGGAGTCCCCCCTCTGAAGCGCACTCCCTTCTCTGGTCCTTTCCTACTGTTCCATGAGTCTTGTGACGAGTTGCTCTTCTCGTTCGACATGGACTTCTTGAGCATGGTGACGATCTCGTCCAAGTTCTGCTTGATGTCAGCCTCGGATTCATCAGCCTGAACTTGTTGCTGTTCTTGCGAAGCATTGCTTTTGCGGCGTCGTCTTCGTTGGCGTCTGGTCTGAGATCCGTCCGGATCGACAATGGGATCGTGTGTCGGAGTCTCGGATTCGGCGAGCTCACGATCTTCTCCGAAGTCATGTCCGGAGGTACTCGGTGGGGATCCAAAAGGGGGTGCTGCAAGCTTGCTGTCAGGTGTGTCCCAAGAGGTCTGTCGAGGCATGTAAAGCCAAACGCCTTCTCTGGTCTCACGCCGCTCTGACTGCCTAGTATTGTAAAACTCAACACTGCCACAACTTGCACAAACCCAATGATCCGACCACTCAAACTCAGCATGACCACATGTCCAACATCTCCAATGAGCTTCATGGGGGGAAGACGAATCTCCGAGCGGAGTGGTGGTAGCGTCAAGGGCTTCATAGTCCCAGGGAACGTCGTCATCGGCAGACATGTCGAAAACAAACGGCAAATCCTGGATCGTAGGCATAGCTCCGCCTACCAACTGATACAGTCACGTGCCTGAGTGACCGCCCTCAAAACGCAAGGAACAAGGCACAGCAAATGCTCGGACGCATGGCCTTTTACGCAAAGGGAAACGGCTCTTGGTACCTGTACGGCAGCGGCGGAAGAGAACGACCTGACGAACCAAGGCATGCATGAGTGGATTTTCACACCTATCACCTCCTCCCCCCGCTATGCCCATTTTGTACATGAACTCTTACTCCATATGGGGTGCCCTTCTGCGTCTGGTCAACAGGCCTCTTTATAATAAAAAAAAAGGACACCCCCAAGCAACTCGAAGCTTATGAATGGGCCCCATCGTTTCTTGCAATCCCTCTTTTCCTATCACATCCTCCTCCACTATGCCTGTCTCGTCCACATGAACTCCCACCGCATATGAGGTGCCCTTTTCATTCCGGCAACTAGACCTCTTCACCGTGAAAAAAGGGCACAGCCAAGCAGTTCAAAGCTTGCCCGCTGCAATTTGTTCCCTTTCCTGCCCTCAAGGCGTCTTCACCATTAAAAAGGGCACCCCAAGCAACTCTACTAACATTTCTTGCAAGCACTCTTTTCCTACCACGTCCTCCTACGCTATGCCTGTCCTCCACCTTCCCCACAGCATTCTGGCTCCTCACAGATCACACAATGTCTTAAGAGATGCACACCTCCCTTTCACACTGTTTCACTGGCCATGAGAGGCGCACGTCTCCCTTTTTCTGGAGGGGTTCCAACCACTTTTCGCATCCCGTTGTCCCCTCTTTCCTATCATTGACATGAACCCCCACCCTGGTAGAAAACGGTATACATTGCCTCCTGAGCCCCTCGTGATGCTAATGATGCACTACTGGCCATCACCGGCATCACAACACCCCCAAAAACTACTAATTTTCACTACCAAGTGGCCACCTTCTTTTTTCGCTCTCCCCCACCAGGCTCTGGGTCAGCCTCTCCGAGATTGGTCTGCTCTCAATCACCCCCCCACACACACCCTATAACTCACTTCGTTCGCTCCATCAACCTCAAGCCTTGCCTATCGGCTGGGTTTCGTGATATATATATATATATATATATGATCACCTTGATTCCCCGTCAGCAAGTTCAAGGACATGGTGATTACCCACCTCCAGGCGAACGCCACTGTCCGCTCTGGGCTGAAGCAAATGCGTTTCCGCAGAGTGGATGAGGCATGCTTGGGGCACCTCCTTCATGGCCACTGGCAAACTGAACAGATCTAACGCGGTCATCAACACGGGTATATAACTGTTGCCACATCTTGCAACAAGGCACCTCGAGCCATATGCTTTGCCATGGGCCTCCAGAACAAGATCACAACACCCTCACACCAACTCACACCTCACTGCATCAGTCCAACGAGAATTCCGATTCTGTGGCACCTCCTGTTGAGCAGCAACAAGTAATTATAAAAAATCTAGCAGCAATCCATGTATAATGAGTTGTGTACTGTTCCGTGCACAGCTGCAATAGAGTTCCCTGATTGACTCCCGCCCGGCCTGTGGCAGCAGAATACATGATAAATCCAGGTTGCAAGGACTGCTTTCCACGAGGCTGCCATCCACTCTCACAGCAGCGATGACAGTGGGGCTGCTCATCCACTTTGTACTCCTGAGTGCTAAGCATGTGCGAATGAACTCTTGACGGTCAGAAGTTGAGCGCCCGAATTTCTAGGGAAGCGGGACTTTCAGTGAATATGTGCTTGTGCAAATGCATCCAAAAATTCCGAGTGCAATTTGGAATGTGCATCCGACACTTTGAGGTCCGACCAAATACTAACAACTACCCGGCACACCACGCCACACTTTTGGAGTCATATGCTGCCAAAAAGCACCGTAGTGACTTGCTGTCCAATGTTCAAACCCAAGCGTGCTCTTGTTTGGCAAGTTGGTTGGCAGCTTAGAGGCTTAGAGAGCTTACAATCCAGCTTAGAAAAAGCAATGCGTCCGAGGATCGCAACCGCTGTCTGTGGGGTCCCAAACACGCATAATAATCTCCCACACGGCCTACGGGCCACGAGCTGTGTCTGGGAGCCGGAGAAAACCAGCAACATGCGCCAAAATGCGCAGCGTATGTCTGTCGTAGCCTAGGCCTCTTTACAGATGTGATCGGATTGCAGAACAAAAACCTCCCTGCTTGAATTCTATCAGACGAGCACAGACTGCTCTAAATCCAAAGGAGTCAAATTTCGGGCCAGTATGGACCAGTCACCTTGAAATTGCCGATTGTGTTTCAAACTGTGAAGGTGTTTTGCTGAGCGCTTACAAGTCGGTGGCATTTCATAAATCCAACTTCACGCCTCATCAGGCGGCAGCTCAAAGGTGAAAGGGTCGTAAGCACCTTGATGGGTGCCCAAAAGCACGCCATTTACGAAGATGCTGCATTCCCAATCACACCTTGCAACTGGTTCTTCGGCAACCAAGAACCAGCTGCCAACGCATTGCTACAACTCGAGGGAAGTAGGCACGGCTGACCCAAAAATTGACAAAACGACAGCAAACTGCTGCGAAAAAAACTTGGACTAATGACTTGTGACACTTGTAGACGCCTTTGAAATCAGACCGTTTGCCCTTGGAACCAAGGAACTGATTCGCTCACACCAGCTCTGCAAGAATGCCGTTTTTGACATACAACAAATGTCATTATGAAATTGTGAGTGGGAAATAACCCCTCCGCTTCAAGTTTCGACAGGTGCGCAAATCAAAAGTGTACCCTTGACCTTGTTTGGCTCAAGTTCGGAAAAGCCCGACGTGCTGGGCACCCCATGTCATAACCACAGGTTATGAGCCCAACTCGACTTTTTTGATTTTCCAAGTCCACCTTCCACCGTTGTGAGAACGGGGAAGTGTTGGTCCCCATGGATCAACGACGGCGCCGACAGCAGCGATCGCGGGAGCGGCAGGAAGCTGCGGCCCCGCAGGTGGAGATCGGAGCGGCAGATCGCCGGCTGGATGCCTTGATCGAGGAAGAGATGAAGGCGAAGGCGGCAAGGGCGCAATCAGTGCCGGTGGGAGCAGCTGAGGTGAAGCGTCTGGGCGTGGCTGCTGGCGCTGGCTCTGGCCATGGAGGCCCTCCAGCGATGGCTGCATCAAGTGGCAACCAAGGACAACATGAAGTTCGACAGCTGTTGAATGACCCAAGAGGCCAAGCGATGGGACTTGGGCATTTGCAGGAGGCAGTTCGGCAGTCATTTGAAGTGTTGCAACATGCTCTTCAAAGGCCAAGTTCCCAGCCGACCCTACTTGATCCTCTTCTTCGGCCCGGTGATCAGGGAGGTCATGCCGGTACCGGATTCGGAGTTCTTCCAGGGCACGGGCTGGCGGCGGGCACTCCATCGTGGGAGAGCGGAATGGAGGTGGAGCGCACATGGCTGGAGCAGGACGTGATGATCTACATCCTCGGGTGCTGGAGCCTTACCCTACCACTCCGGTGGGACCGCTGGGGACGGTGAATCCCTTTTGGAGCGCTTCGGTACAGCAAGCCGCGAAGGGAGAGTCACATGTCCGGGCATCTGAAGTTGCAAGTGGTCAGCATCCTGCACCGAGTCCAGGCGTGGGGCATGTTGAACGTCTTCGAGAACGCATCTTGAGGGAGGCCGAGGAGACCTTCGCTCGGGAGGTGAAGAAGATGACGGACGCTGGAGATTCGGCCTCGTGCGAAGGCTGAGGGACCGCAAGAGCCAATGGGGCCCTACAAAGCTTGGAGGACAACCTGACACCCCTCCTGGTCTTGCTCCTGCACATGATCCTCGAGGTCGTGGAATTGGATTGAAAGGGGCGGTGAATGTGATGAAGCCGCCAGACTCCGTGACAGCTGCACTGCCTGAGGCAATGCGAAATCTGAAATTGCCACCACTGCCAGCACCTTCGACAGAGAATGCGGCCTTACTTTTTGGAGATTGGCAGATGGTGATCACTCCGCTGATGGGAGACCTCAGCACTTCGTCCAGGGAGTTTTGGGATTGGTGGAGGTGAAATACAATGAGTGGCTTTTGGCAACACCATTGGGGCGGTTGAGAATCAAGGTGGAAGAGCAAGTGTCCCCGCGGTTTCAACGATTGGATCAGCGTGCAAGCTCGACTTTGCTGGCAGCGCTTCCGGAACCGGTGAGAAAGGACATTGCTGCAAGTCGGAGGGTGGCTACTCAGGCGATCTTGTACAAGCTCTTCACCATCTACCAGCCTGGTGGGAATGCAGAGAGGGGCAATTTGCTGCGCAGCCTGACCGAGGTGAAGTGCGGCAGCTCCATTCAGGACACGTTAGGCGCCATTCAATTCGAACCTGGCGCCGGACTCGATGGTCTTGATTCAGGCCTTGTCCAAGGTAGCGGAGAACCTCACGAAGCATGGAGGAAGTCAAGCGGGATTCCGAATTGCAGCGGCTCGGCAGGAACTTGAGGTTGATCGGAGGCCCACGCTGATCACCACCATGCAAGGAGTTCGCAAAGTTCCTACAAGCGGAGGCGGAAGATTTGGCGTTGACGCGGTGGAGATGGGCAGCCGAAATCGAACAGGCATGCCGTTAGTACGTGGGGGACTACGGCTGGGCGCAAGCGTGGCGAGTCCTGCACTTTCGCCCACTCTTGGGAGGGCGTCAACAAGTCAGACAGGTGTTTTCATTGCTCCGGGGAGAACCACTTCGCGAAGGATTGCCCATATGGTCGAGAACGACCGGGAAGGGATGGAAAGAAGGCGGCCAAGTTGAAGGGGAGTGGAAAGGCTCAGGTGGAGAAGGAGGAGACTGGCCCGGGTGGTTCTGGAAGGCCAGGAACTACCTCGTTGACGAGCTCTATGTCCACGTCTACCAGGCCAGCGCCAAGTGGTGGAGAAAAAGGACGGGATGGTGGAGTAGAACCGGTCAAGAAGGGTATCCTGCATCGGAGCTGATCACAGAGGCCACATCCCTACTGAAGTCTCTCCGCAGCGTGAAAACCTTCAGGCTGAAGCAGATCAACGTGGCAGGGAATGAAGAGGAACAGGAGCTAGCACTACTGGATGGTGGAGGATGGCGCGACCAGAAAACGGGAAAAAATTGCAGCCGATCACGGTGGAGTTGGCCCATGGATGTACGACATTGTACAGACATCCGGATTTTGACACTCTACTGTCGCTGGAGCCAGTGGAGCCGATCTTGCCACTACATCTACTAGTGGAGAACGGATATGCCATTCACTGGACTGGGCAGGGTTGCACGATCATGCACCAGCAGCTGGGAGCTGTGAAGTGTTGGTTGAGGTCGGGATGCCCGGTCATGAACCGAAAGGATGCTATGGTGATGTTGGCAGAGTTCGAGGAGAACCAGAAGGCTCGGAAGAAGTTAACCCAAGAGGATTGGAATTGGTGGCGCCGCATCATGCCGGACGTGCCGGAGGACGTGCTGGAGATGATGGTGGGGTTCTCAAATGAGCCGAACCCTGAGTTGCTGCCTTGGAATAGACGCCAGAGGCGTCGGCACCGACGAAGTAAGGGCTTGGTGATTCATCTTTTGTCTGGAGCTGATACAGGGAGATGGAAGGGCACTTTGCCAGACGACATGGACTGGATCTTCCTGGATTTGGAGTTGGGGGATGGCTTCAACATGCATAATGTGAACGTATGGAGCTATGTTTGCTCGCTGGCTCGATCTGGGAAGGTGAAGGCGATTGTTGGAGGTCCGCCCTGTCGTACCACAAGGCCGAGTTACTGGGATATACGGAAGCCATGACCATGGGAGATTCTTTGGCAGCCTTGACTAATGTCTTGGAAGGGCATGGAGATGAGAAGGGGACGGAATGCCGGTTGGGGGGAGACAACCAGGCTGGTCTTCGAATTTTGGAAGCACCAGACGGGCCTTGCAGACACGTCATCTTCGTCTCAGAGCTCATGCGTTACGAGAGCGCGTCAAATGGGGTGCTTGGAAGGTGATTCACATCCCGGGTCAACATCTAGTGGCAGACTTCCTCGCGAAGCCAATTGGGGTGGCAGCTCGATGGCAGCACTTGATTGCAGCGATGGGCATGAAGCCAGTGGTGGAAGCTTCCTCTGATAGCTTAGGGTCCAAAGTGGCCAGGATTGCAGCTTTGGTAGGTGGGCTAGCGGGAGTGTTGACTTGGCGGCCATCAGGTCCAACGGGCAAGGCCGCTCAAAGCCTAGCTGTAGCCGCGATGGTAGCTAGTTTGGCCACCAGCTGGAAAGCCGGCTGTGATTCCAAGAAGAGAGCCACTGGGCCGACAAGAAATGAGTATGTAGATCCACCGTATGGACATCAAGATCAGGTGAGGGAAGATGAACCCACCTGCAGTAGGGAAGATGGGTCAGAAGAGGAACCTATCACAGAACCTAGCCCTGAGGGCTCCCGGGATTTCGCGGTAGAAGTGCGCCATGGCGGAAACACCAAGAGGGCGCGGTTGGCTGCGCTTGGAAGAGGTTCCTCTGCCGCGACTGGCGAGTTGCCAGCTGTTGACCATGATCGACCTTGGACCTGGAGGAGATTCACGTTGCCGTCGCAGGGTCAAGATCGTTGGGATCGGCTTCCAGGAGGATGGCGGGTACGGCACCATGTCAGGCAGCGAATGAGACCTTTTCATCCAGTTCATCGACGGACACCTATGGATTGCAGCCAAATTCAAGATCGGAGAATTACCGTTTTGTGGTGCCATGGTGAAAGGGTGATCCGAGATGATGACTGGCGAACTGAGACGGAACCGCCGGTGAGGGATGCCTGGGTTGGATATACGTTCTTTCGAGATCTTCGCCCAGAGCCGGCTGCAGGGACATTGACTTCGACGTCTAGTTCATCTACTACCAGGGGGCAAGGGGATCGCACCTCTTCGTCGATGAGCAGTTCATTGACCTCTGGACCACCGCCAATGCCAGGCATTGCGGAACATGGCCTGTTGCCGGAAGACTTGCCCAGGTCGCCATGCGCTGGAGTCCGATTCGTTGGGATCCGTCTCCAACCAGAGTACTGGAATGACTGAGGGGATGAGCAGCAGCCTGGGAGGCTACGAGCAGAGGTTGCGTGGCCACCTACATCGAGGTGAGATGGATGGATCAGGCGCCTCAGGAGAATCAAGAGAACTTTCCGTTGTTGATGAGGAAGGCGACTATGGGTGGGACTATGATCCAGAGTGTTGGGCACAGGGACCTGGAGGGCATGATGGAACTACATTGGATGATGATGTACGGGATGATTGGCTGGCGTTCATGCGGGACTTGACTGTTGATGCCAGGTCGCCAGCGGAGAACAGGCCAGCGGACAGTGAGGCGAGCAGTGCAGAGAGACCTGACTGGAGGAGATCATTGGCAAGCGGGGATGAAGATCCACCATCATTGGACGAGATGACGGGTCGGGGGTGGAGAGTGGTGCGAAGCAACTTAGCTCCGCCGAATCGAGAGAGCTATCGAGAACCCGCCAGTGGGAAGCTCTGAGCAGGAGACGCCGAGCTGGATGGGTGTGTCCACCCAGGTGCCAGTTAAATGACCCTTGGGAGCCGCGACGCGGTTTTTCTGGAACCTCAAGGGTTGGGGAGGACTCAAGTGAGTCCAATGGTAGCTTTGAGATCTTTGAAGACCGTGGAGGGTAGACGAAAAAACCTACCCGACACGCGATGACTTCAACGAAGTCAGGGGGAGTGTGAGTGAGAAATAACCACTCCGCTTCAAGTTTCGACAGGTGCACAAATCAAAAGTGTACCCTTGACCTTGTTTGGCTCAAGTTCGGAAAAGCCCGACGTGCTGGGCACCCCATGTCATAACCACAGAAATAAAGCAACAATGCCCCTGGGGAAAAAACTATATATCTCATGAGGCCGCTGGAAGATGCCAAATCCCAGGCACCCGTCAACGTGCAGAAGCGTGCGTCCCCAGTTTGTGCTGGGCACCCTGCGCCGAAGCCAAAGCCTTACGGCACAAAGTGGTCGATGGAAGAGCCCAAGGGCCAGCTGAGGATTGGAAGTGCTGCAGCACTGCATGCCGCATGTTTGCTCAATGCGAGGGCCCCTAGACACCAGCGGCTGGCCTATGCAAGCCTGCCTACCTGACTTCATGGTTATTGTTGCATTGGCGGCACGGAACACCAAACAGACTGCCGGTTGAAAGCTGAAGCTTGAGCAAAGGGAGACACGAAAGGTAGGAAAGAGGGAAGAGAATAGAAGCTTGTAGAACACGCATTAGAAACTATTCGGAGCAGCAGGTGATAGGGGTAAGACATACCCTCAACTATTGTAGGCCCCAAATCGTGGGGTCCAACTGCCTATTACCTAGGGATTGGGCTGAAACGCGTTTAGGTGTTAAACCTGGGGGAACTCCGGGAGGGTCTATGATCTTTTAGGGACGTCCCTACCATCCTAGACCCCTCCATGAAAGCATCATGTAAGCGTGTTCTTTTCTGCACATTCTTTTGCCATGGTTGCCCTCTGCTTTCTTTACAGAGTCATACGAGATGAATCCCCACGGATTTGGTTGGAGTTGCAATTTTTGGTTTGTCAAAGTCGCAGTGGGGCCAGGTGACTTCTGGTGCCAGGTCAGTTTGTGGCAGATGATAGTTCTTCTCGCATTCGGTTTGGGGCGTCGAACAAATGCTTTACAAATGTTTGGATGGGAGAGCCCGTGAATGAGAGAGATGTGGAATCTCGTTGTTGGGCATCTTATGGTGTCAGTCCAGTCATTCTCCAGGACGCAATGGGGAAGCTGCGGAGGGCGCAGGCCAGTAGGGTGTGGGGTCTTTTATTTGAAGCCGCCATCTTCACATGATCCTTGAAACAAGCTCTTTCGCTGAAAACCATCATAGGCTTTTGGCACAACAGTAAACTTTGATCATGTGAAAAGAGTGGTGGCAAGTGCCAATCTTTGCAATCTTTACAACTGTTCTCATGGACTACACACCCTGACTCCTCAATACTCCTCCAAAATCTTAACTGGACGGATTTCTACTCCAAATGGATTCCCTGCTTCAAAGCCATGTTAGACTGTCATCTTAGACTTCGGGCTCCCTGTCGCAAGCTTCTCTTTCTTTGTGCACAAGGGTATGCTTTTAAATAGGCCTGGTCCAAAAAGCTGCATTGGCGCAATGCGTTTCTTTAAGCCTTTGACTAAAGGATGAAACCATCGTAGACCCCTCCACTTAGACTTTCTCTACTACATGAATTCCCACTTCCACAATTCCTTCTCATAGAAATACCCCAGTGATTCCTCAAAGGTCTCAAATGGAATTGGCCTCACTCCAAATGATTCTTGAAAAATGCCTCTTCCCTTTTCACTGGTCGTTGGCCATCAGCCATTATGCTGGAAGACTTTTGCATGGTCGTGTGGAAGCTTCAGAAATACCACCTCAGACCTGTAAACTCTTGGGCTAGCACACTGTGTGGACTCTTTGGTAACATGAACTGAAAAAAACAATAAGACACACCCAAAGAATGGGTCTAGGATGCTTTTTCAAGGCGTCTCCCAACGCGAAACTTGAGGATTACCACCTCAGACCCGTAAACTCTAGGTCTAGCACACTGTGTGGACTCTTTGGAGAAAGATGGACTAAACAAAAACAATGAGACAGACCCAAAGGATGGGGTCGAGGATGTTTATTTTGTTTCGCAAGGGCGTTACCCTTTGTCTACGCTAAGCTTCAGGAATACCACCTCAGACCTGTGAACTCTGTCTAACACACTGCTTGGACTCCTTGAACTCTAGGACCCCGGGGTCTCATGATTTCAGACCCTAAGTAGTTGAGGGTATTTCAATTGGTTCAATTTTTGGTTCAGCGAGATAGTGTGTGTGTAGATAGTCTCGAATGTTTCAAATTGCTACAGGATTCAAGTTTTGTGCCAAAATGGATTTGCGTTGAGGTCTTGCCAATTGCGCTGGCCGATCTTATTTTCCGTACTCCGGGCTTTTATTTTAAGCATGATTTTTCACCGCCACTATTTACTTCCTGGGGTGCAAGGATTAATCTAGCTTAGAATTCAACACTTGATTCAAGACTTCAGTTCAGGACACCAACAAAAACATTTGACATGTGATTCTATCTTTCGTGACATGCATCTCTGTTCATATTCCACTCAGCTTTGGTTTCTTGAATCAAAAAACGCTCAAATTTTCCCAGCCGTACATTTTCAAGCTCAACTACACAGGGTCTACTTTACTCACCTGTAAAGGGTCTACAATGTCACTGGACCCATTCTAGACCCTCCTGTCTCAGACCTCCAGGGTCACCCATTCCAGACCCTAGTTGAGGGTATGGTAAGACTAGAAACCGCCTTGTAAGCGTAAGACGGGTAGCGTAAAGCGGTGGTTGGCGTAAAACGGTGGTTGGTGTAAGCCGCGCAGGGGCGAGTGGTTGGTGTAAAACGTGGTGTAGGAGTAACGGTGGTTGGTGCACGACGACCGCGCAAGGGCGTCAACAGTGGTATAAAACGTGGTTTGGTGCAAACGGTGGTTGGTGTAAAACATGGTGGAAGCGCCGCGCGAAACCAGTTCTGAGCCGCCGTTGGTCCGTGCTTTTGTTGACTCACGGTCCACGTTGCCGATGTGCTCGCAAACCAAATGACCCGCATCGGGGTGATCCACTTCGGGACGAAGCGGTTGTGGGGGTCTGTATTGAAAAATCAATTCAAAGGGGTGCAAGACAAACTCAAAGGTATCCCCGTTGGGGGCTACCTTTCATGAACTGCAAAGACACAGTCGGCATTAGCTTGATGACGCTAATACGGAGAAATAACCTTGGCCGGGGGCCGGGGCCTGTCTCTGACCATCCAAGCAACAGCTCGTGCTCTGAAATCCGTAGAGAGCCACCACTGTGCGATTCTATTGGGTAGGGTACCTGCCAGAATTCGGCGGTATACCGTCCTTGTATGTTACAGAGTTGTTTTAAAGCAATATAGGTTGGAGGCCATAGCTATTACCCGTTAGATTGTATAACTGTCTACAATTGTCTCTGAAACGTGCCCAGCGGCTTCTACGACCCCATCGTGGAAGGATGCCGGCAAAGCAGGAGCATCCCTGGGACTAATATGCACGTCCCATTGGCCGTTCCTCAGTTCGACATAGTTCCACCACTTCTTATCAAGCAAAATGTGCTTAGGGACCTGGAAGCCTGCAGAAACTCTCAGTAGCCTGCATAATCTCCCACACGCACACCACATAATATGACAGGAAAAGCTGAGAGCACAGTCAAATGTCTTCATGCGCTGCATTCTTGCAGCCTGCACACACAAGTATAAATCCTTTGACATGCAATCTGACAAGGCTTTGGAATTGCGCACCTGCCCACAGCCCATCTAAATCAAAAAGACACGGGAACACTCTGGCCGATTGGGCAAGGCTGATGATCTCCGGCCATTTTGGTCAAGCTTCAGCAACAACCAGCGGGTGTCCCTTCGGAGGTGTGGCCTTGGATACGCCCAACCACCACTGGTAGTGGACGTCAGCGGCGGCGGCTCTGGATGCCTGAGACCGTCTGGAATGGTCTGAGTCTATGGAGCCTCTTTCGGTTGAAACAACCAGGCTCTCTACTCATGAAGTGCTCCATGGGCTGGACTATCTGATATCTTCTGGTGCTATTGGCAGAGATTTGGAATTTTCAGCGCTTTAGATGAAGGGCCTTGGTCTCTGTTGCTTCCATGGCAAGAACCAAAAAATTGTCAAAATGCACAATTTATTCATCTGCGATCTGCGATTAACAACTGCGCCCCTCTTGGCAACAGAATGAAGCTGATCATCCTACCCAAGCAACTGGGGCCAATGCGACTTCCCGGCCCTTGGCTGGATTGTCATCAGCCCACCATCAATCGTCTGGACAGCGCAGTCCTCAGCATTCTCGAAAGTCTAAACCAGAGCCTAACATCTGCAGGCATGTACTGAGCTGATACGGCATGTATTTCTACAAATTAAATTGTAGTAAGCCCACCTCCGAGAATCTAGCATCACAAGGACAGGAAGAAGGGAAGAAAACACATGCAAAAATGTTAGTTTTTTAAGTTCAATATGCGCTTATAATGTATACATATATATAATTACAGTAAACGGCCAAAGTTCCAGGCCAGCGCTCAGCAAAGCGCCCAGTGGGTCAGGGAAACCCACCACCAGCGCCACGTCGAAGTCTTCGACATTGGCACGGAGATCCGACAGCAGGCCTGACTCATGTTGCTCACTGTAGTTCTGGGAAGTTCTGGGTGCTGACGCTTTTTCAGCACCCCGTCACAAATCTCGAACATGAAGCCTGTAAGTGACCGTAGTACTGTAAGGTGCTCGCAAACATCAACCTGCATGCAGATCGTACTCCACGCCAGATGGGTATCAATGCTAGTTCCTGCAAGATCTGCAAAGGACAAAAGGCCTTTATGCCACTTGAGAAATGTGTAGATGTTCCACCTTTGCTAGAAAACCATCAAGGAAGGTTTGGTCCATTGCATTCAGGGCACCCAAAAGCATAGAAATTGCACAAATGCAAAATCCTCAACACATCTTAACACAACCCCAAGGAAGATGGGCCGCCAAGTCATTCACAAACATCGAATCAACACGCTCTCCACCTGCGAGTCCATCGTTGAACTCGTCCTGCTGCACGTAGCGCGCCGCAGCGCTCTGGGCCCCTTGCAGGAAGAACTCCAGGTAAGTTGGGGCAAAGAGCTCTCCAATGATGACCAGCACCTGAGAAAGGCCGCATTGTTTTGGGGTCTTGGATTGTATTGGTGCAGATGATGGATGGTCCGAAGGGCAATGGACTTCCTGTGAGCAAACCATGAGGTTTGGTTCTTTTCCGGAGTCGAACGATGCCCATCTCGCACATTCTTCAAACCCTTGCCAGGCCTTCCGATCCCTGAAAAATATCTTCCAAAGCTCTTGCAGCTCAAACTTGGACGCCTTCCTCTTGTTCCAAGCTGCTGCGTCAACAACCTGCCTGTACACAGCGTGTGAATCCCATGTGAGCTTGATCTTGGTCGGAGCTTCATGAGTTTTTGCTTGCATAAGTCATTCAACATTTGCATACTGCAAGGTGGTGAGAAATTCAGCAACCGTGTGGGTCTGAGTTGTTTCCAAATCCCAAAAGTAGGAAGCTGAACAAGCTTCCAAAATCACTGCCAAAGCGATGTTGTTGCAACAATGCATTGCAAAGCAGCCTGTTGCAAAGCACACCTGCTGAAGGCCGCAGCGTCAGCAGCTCTCGCACCAAGGCCTCTCTGTTCTTCCTGGGCGGCAGGCACCATCAAAGATCCTCACTAGCCAAACAGAGTGAAAATCTGTCCACGTTAATTCTATATAATTGGTCGGATTTTCTTACCTGCGTGAAAGGCAAGGATGTGCTAGATCCAAATTCCTCTGCATGTGTGTGTGTGTGCGCACGCGCAAAACTTGTTCAGTGGGAGAGAGCCTCAAGACTTGTGGACCCCTCAACAAACGCTAAGAACATAGTGGAATGAAACTCAAACTTGACAAAGGATCCGAAGGTGCATCAGCAACTCAGACTCTGCAGGGTATGCCAAGTCCCAGTTCCGCGACAGAACATCCTTACTTCGATGCGCTTAGTGGTGGTTCAGGGGTGGCATGCTGAATTGAATGCAACGTTAGAACTATTATGCTTGAGGACGATTGCCAGCAGAACAATATCTTGCTTCAAGTCATGGCAGCTCTTTATTTGTCCGAAGCGGCGTCTCCGACGGAATATCCAAAGCATTGGATGAGGGCCATATGCTCAAGTAGCAAGCAAAGTGTCCAGTATATAAACCTTGCCCTTGCGAGGTCACCTTTTTGCTAAATAACGGTTTGATATGGATCTTTCAAACACACGAAAGGAGGGATTTGTCATGATTTGTTGAGAGGTGGAGAGCAAGGATCTGTACATCCAGCACTCGATGGCCTATGTCAGCAACGCACTCACGTGAAAGTTGGAATGTGATTGTTCGTTTGTTGGAGGCACGCACGGGAGCCTTAAAGGCACAGCTTTGCCAGTCAAGTTGCGTCAACCGCCAAACAACTTTGGCCTTGTCGACCTCTCAGCAGCTCCTCGAAGCCCTTCGTGAGCTGCTCGTCGGCGCCTGGAGCATCTATCCACAATATGCATACGTATATATATATATATATGTATATGATATAATATATTGTTTTTTGTACAGTCTAAGATCTTGTTTGCACAACATCCGGGCCTCTCAGCCACCGGAAGTCTTCCAGCTGCAATCTGATCAGTTGGCAAAGAATGGGAACACTCAGATGCAACCCAGGGTCAGATTCTAGGCCAACTTCAAGCTATATATATACAGCAACCAAAGCATACCAAAGCAAATTACAATACAAAACTGGGAATCTTGCCAAGCTGTCGGAGTTTTGATGCACTATACAATACAATGAGTGTTGCGTACAACAGTAGGCCTACCAATGCCACTCTTGTCCTTCCGAAGCTGTGCTGTTGCAAAGCTTTCAAGCTTTGGCCCGCCCTCTCCAGCCAAGGCTGCCTGATGAAGCTGGCCCCACCTGCCAGGAACTCGAAGGTATGCCTAGTGCAAGGCGGTGCAAGCAACAAATGTGTGGCGGCATTTATTTGGTATTAAACTCAAATACACATTCTATTATGCGGGGGCCCTATCTCCTTTAGACTACTTGAGTAGGAGGTCATGTCACACTATCTCATTCAAACTACTTTTTAGTAGCAAATCACACTATCTCGTTCAGACTGCTTTAGTGTCGTCAAGCAAACGTATCTCGTTTATGTGGGGGCCCTATCTCGTTCACAAGCGAATACTGATAATGGACAATCAAATAGAGCATGCCGCAGACTACTTTAGAAAGGCCTAAATAAAAGTGGTTGCTCAAATGCAAGGAGAGGGCTGCTGATTCAATCTGAACTGAACCAAAAGGGCCAAAGCAGATTTGGTGAGAGCCGCCTCAAATCCAGGACTCGCCATCCTAGTAGCTGCAGCCCTCGCTCTCCCGGGCGTGTGGGGGGCGGCTTGGCAACCTTCCGCGGGTTCTCCTGGGAACAAGTCACTGCTCCAAGATTTACATGCCCCAATGTGGATCTCCTGCGTGCCTTCACAAGACTGCTTTTCGGGGATGCACCATCTCCAACATGCTTTCTCTGAGAGTGGATCGTTGGGATGGATTTCTTGGCTCCAAAAGCAGAAAGCTCCTTTGGGCAAGCTAGCCAAGCTGTGGCCACCGGCGTTAGCAGTACCAGGCAGAAAGAGGGCAGCTGGTAATGGCTGGGGCCAAAAAGCATCAGCTGAAAGGCGCTTGCATGATCATGGGCAGAAAGCCATGCAGGGGGCAGCAACACAAGTGCTGATAGTCCTCACGTTCCTCACTCCCAGCTGCTGGCATGGCCCCACTCCCAATTATACTCGTCTTCTGGCCAATCGAGGCCATCTTCGTAACATTTGGGCATATTTGGGCTATATACCTGCATCATGCCTTACACTGGCAGGGGGTGCGGCCTGCCGTGTGTGCGTGTGTGCATTTTGTTGAGTCTCACCCTTGTCTTCTCTTCTCTATTGCTTGTATGGAAACTGGCTTGGCAGCAAGCACCTGCGGTTGACATTCCATCTTGGGGCCCTTCGAAATCTAAAGCCCCATGAAAGGATGTAAGGATGGCGTACGACTAACCACTGTGCGCCGAGCAAACATCTTGCCCCAATTTTCCAGCTTGCATGCTGCTGACAGATTGGCACTGGCGGTGTTCGTCTCAGCTTTCGCGAACCTTTTTGGGAGGAGGTGCCTTCGACCTTGGCGGAGTACTGAAATCAGTCTTGAGCGGCATTTGGAATAAGACTTGGTCAAAGAAAAAGTAAAAGACATATGAAAAAAGTGTTGAAAAAAAGACAATAACATGTTTTATATACGGTCTAAAAAATATATGCTGCTTTCAGGATTCAACTTGATTCTAGCACAACCTAGCTGCTGTTGAGCCAAGCAACTCCAGCCCTCTCAGGTGCACCACCGAGTAGGAAGGTTTTCCGGGTGCGCCATAGAAGACGTCCGCCTCTTTCTGAAAACCTTGATAGCAGGTCGGGCACTCGTAGCCTACATTCTGACAATACATTGAGATTCTTTCTCAGGTCAAAGTTGCAAGCAGGAGAAGAGAAATCAAACACGGAACGATTCTATCAGTCCTGATGCTTTCAGGCCACTTTCGGGGAGGGCACTCGTATCAGCGCACTGCACAGTCCAAACCCCTCGTCTGCGGGCTTCATTGAGGAAGATCTCCACCTCATCGCAGCAGCGGTTCTTGATTGCCAAAGTGACCAGGAATGGTTCATCCTGTGCCTCGGCAACTGCGCCCAGTGTGTCAAGCAGTGGTCCTGGGGGAGCCTTGTCACCATAGAGCAAGTCGCTACCCACCACATGGCCAAAAGGCCCGAGATCTTCAACAATCTTCCGAGCTCCATCAACATCACCAAACAGTAGGCGACGGAAGGTACAGGAGCCCCAATGTTCCTCACAACGCTCCCGCTTGCGCTCGCGTCGGCGTTTGCGCCGTTGCCCTGCCCGGGCATTGGTGCAGTTGAGCTCAGCAGTGCGGATGGCAGCCTCGTCGCCATCAGTGTAAACGATACGTGCGCCCAAGGAGGCCAGAGCTGCTGCCACCAAACCTGCTCCTCCACCGAGCTCCAAGACTGCTGGCTGGGACTTCCAGAACCTGGAGGGGTGGCATGTGACCCTGGCACCCCAACGCGATACCTCCTGATGGTTCCTTATGACACCAGAGCGATGCACATCCTCCAGAAAGACTGAATGACTCATCAAGAAAAGAATGGCCCACCCCACACCTGGCCGGGACCACTGCTGCAGGCGGATGCAGTTGCCACCAACCTGAGCTGGGCTTGAGATGGTCGGCCGTGAAGGCAGCATAGCCCAAGTACTCCGCCAATAGCAGAGCACACCTTGGATGGCGTGATTTGCTCAAAGGTTCTGTGGGAGGGATTTGGCACCATAGGTTTGACCAGCTCTCCATTGGCCCACTACATAAGGTGGCCCACCCCCAAGCTAGGACCAGCAGGGCTCTGGGATGTCTACCCTTGGACCTGGTGAGCATCCACTTTCGAGCCACTCCCACAACACCAGGCCGGCAGAATTCAAAGGCAAATCCCCTGCCACTGCTGCAAAGAAGTGCGTGCGCCGCCGCAGGATGCGGAAGCTCTGCCCGCAAACCGTCACGGGCTCCACTTCCAGGCCGGTGCAAACCTGCTCAGAACAGCATGGTTGCAAAACAAAATGTCCAGAGTGGCCACGGTTGTAGTCTAGTCTTTCATTCGGGATGTTTCTGGGGGCCTGTGGTGATGCAGGGTCCAACATTTTCTGCGACAAACTATTGAAGGACCAGGCATTGAGGAGCCTTGGAAATTCAACCCGGGCACCTCCACAATGATTGTGAGTTGTGAATTTCTATCATGCGGTGTATATGTATATATTTATATTTACTTAAGTATGTATTATATATATATATGTGGTGTGTGTGTGTTTGTGTACATTCAACATATATATATATATTTGTATATATACTAACTACCGGGAAATGAGATAGGAGCTGTGAAAGTATGGTGGAAAAAAAGAATCCTATGTCATCATGCAATAGCCTATACGCCCCAACTCCTATCTCATTAGCCCAGCAAATTCCTATGTCATCAGCCCTGAGTATACGCATATATATATATAGCAAGGGTCCTTCAGGCTCGCCTTAGTTGGCGAAGGCAACAAACAGAGTTCCCCAAACAAAGAAGTCTTTGATTGCAGGTATGAGTGAGTTCTGAATGAATCACCGCACCCATTGAAGTCCATTGAAGGATATACCACAGCAAAAAAGATCCAGACGCCGCAGGCCTGGCCTTCTCACTAATGAGCTGGCCGTTCCCGCTTGCAATTGGAGCCATCCGCAGGCACAGTACGGGTCACAGGACCATATTGCACGGTCTCGTTGTCGTCTTCCCACAAGATACCAAAGTCCAATGACTTGACAGGAATGATTCGGATGACTTGACTACTGAAAGGTTGTGATGCATTTATGCACAAGACCCGTGATTGGTCTAGGTGTTCGGCAGTTGAAATTAAGGCGTCCACCGTTTGACACCAGCCGCCAGTGTCAAATTGCACGCACGGTTTCTTTGTGAAAGGTTTCTGCCAAGTGGATCTGCTTGATGAACTTAAGTAACCCGTCCATAGTGCCACAAGTTATCTGCCTTTCTCATAAAGGAAGGGAAGCGACTCCAATGCATTTGTGCCAAAAGAATAAGGGTGGACCTTGAGATCAAAGCATGTGTAACACAATGGTTCTCCGGATACATTCACCCTACCTAGACCTAGATTGGTGTTTGTGGTTTTTTGTCTTCTAACTAACTTGGTCCATTCAGCTGCAGCTGAGCACTTGTCCAACCAAGTGCCACCTGTTCCAACTTCTCTTCCTTGAACTCTCCTGATCACTGATTTCTGTTGCTCACAATTGTAGTTTGGGAGGTCAATCAATACCCTTGACCTGCAATACCGCAAGCCACTGTTCACGCCGGGCCTCTGCCTCACCGTGAACCTGCGCAGAGCAACGGGGGCCATTTGGAGCAGATTGAATATAATGTTATATAAGGTTTCAGCTCCATCTTTTCATGCCTGCTGGTGTGATCTCTGTGGATGGCCATTGCCATCTTGAAACTCGAAGGCCACGACGGTGTGCCGAAAGGGTGGGGTGAAACCTCTGGGTGGGAGTCTTGAGCGCGAAAGATTGCACGTTCAACCTTAAAGAATGCAAGGTTTCAGCTCCATCTTTTCATGCCTGCTGGTGTGATCTCTGTGGATGGCCATTGCCATCTTGAAACTCGAAGGCCAGCTCTCCCACATTCCCCGCATCACCATAGTCGTGGCCAAACACATTCAAGGATCATAGTCTGTTTCCTGGAGACAGCTTTGAGGAGGATCTTGATGAAATACCCGCAGAGGATGCTAGGACGGCTCAAAGACTCAACAGTCATCTTCGGGGTGTACGAGCCCTCTTCAGAAGCCATCTCCCCTTTCTCCAGATATGCTCAGCTTCTTCTGTAGTTTGCAACCTGTATGTGGCGTCACTAGGTCGGAGGCCCAAAAGGAGGTAGTGAAGCTCTTCCTTCCCATGGCCCCCGTCCAAGCCAAGTGCAGCTTGCAAAATACTGAACCCCTTTCTCGACATTGAGGACGACCGAATCAATAAACACTTTGCAGAAAGGAGCTGAGCAAGATCAGCCTCTAACAGCAGAACTATGTCTACAATGGTCGTGGGGTTCTCTGACGACCCAGTTGAATGCCAGGTCTCCACATGGAGCGAGTTGTCGCTCAGCCATCGGCCAAAGGCCGTCAGTAGATTTGCTCTTCGCTCCCCAATGCTTTGCAGCATCACCCTACCAGATTGCAGAGCGACCCCAGAGGTCCTCTGGGCTCGAAAAACTTCGTCTCTGATTACTAGCAGGGGTGACATGGCGGCGACCGTACGAAGCGCGACCCAAATGGCTGCAGCATGGCATTGGGAGGTCCCGATCACAATCTTTGGGGGGGTACCACCTTTCAGGAGCGCAGACTCAAGAGAAGTCCAAGAACGAAAGAAGTCATGAGAAAGTCCAGATCTGAGGTGGGGCAACAGACAGGAAAACGGAAGCAAGCCAGGCCAAAGCCAAATGGCCAAAGTCCATTGAATGCGCTAAAGACAGGGCGATCGCCAGAACTGGCAAAGGCGACAGGGCAAAGACAAAGTACAGCCAAGAGATAGAGCCGAACCCAATTGGCTGATGTCCTTGAGAACTGAAGTCCATGCAAGGTAGCGATCTCCTCTGATCATAGTGCGGTGGAGAAAGAGTGCATCGCAGGCTGAGGAAAGTCTTTATCTCTCGAGGGGGCATCTGCTGTATTCAGGCGAGTCGGAGCGAAGCCAAAAGCTGGGTGTAAGTTTCGGGCGACTTGGTAGGCGCAGGAACGAAGCAAAGAAGGTCGCAAGGCAAATGAAGAGGACCTTCCTTTGGCGTGAGCCCCTTTGGCTACTCGGCTGTCAAGGAGGGCAACAAATCTGCAATCACCTCCTTCGTCAAGCAACAAAAGCTCGGCTCTCCAGAATATTGATATGTCCAGGTTTTCTCCAGTGCCAATGAGCTAAAGTCGACCAGCCATCTTGCAGAAGGATGTCATTGATCACCAGGCTCTCAAGTCTAGGGCCCTCAGGTACATCAGCCTCTGCATCAGACCTCGCCAGTGCTTCCGCAAAGCAGGCGGCGATGTGTGCAGCAACTCCTGGATGATAAACTGCCGAAGGCTTGGTGTATTTGCCAGCAATTCTGACATGTTGATGACCTCCTGGGCACGGTACCCGTAGGCGGGCCATATCAAGCCCCCAGCCGAGGAGCCTGAATGGCTTTTTGTGAATAGACCCAAAAGCACATGAGTTGAGAACAGCCTCTTCAAAGCCGATGCTGACCAAATAGGCCCACCATGATAGCCTTCCGTGTCTTGTTGAGTGAAGACCACCTTCGGCTTCTGAACCCCAGTTGCCTTGGGCGGAGGCATCACCGCCACCAAGCTCTTCAAGTTGGAGGGACTTGGTGATCCAGGCATAGTCAAGCTGCCAATGGGCTTTCGCAAGGCTGATGATCTGTCGGTCACCTGCTTGGTTGTTGCTTCCATTGCTGCAGTCCTCGAGGATAGGCCCTGCACTTGGTTGACCAAAGCCGGAAGCGTCTGACTGATTTGCTCCAAACTCTGAGCCAATGATGCGACTGTGGGCCTCTTCTTCTGTGGGGACGTAGTAGCTTGTTGTCCTCCTTTTCCTCCACCATGCGGAGTGTTTGCCCGCCGACGCGTTGGAATCTGCGCCGGTGGTTCGTCTCCACCTCTGGGTGTTTCCAAACCGTCGTCGAGGGGGCCAGGTGTCAGTGGCACCTCGTCGGCCGAGTAGAACAAGATTCTCTCCCCCACTGAGTCCAACCCTCCTCTTGCCCATTCGAGCCCTCGCAACCAAAATCTCTGGCGCGGGGATGAGGAGCGGCTCTCGGTAGTCGAAGGACAGGGCGGACATCACCTCTGAGACCTCTTCTATACTTCTCAGGTACCTTAGGACCTCTGCACTGAAATCCACCAGCTCTGCCGAGACGGAACGGTCCACCACCGGAGAAGGCTCCTGCAGGACTGAAACATCGTCCAACATTGCAGCTCCAACATCCAGCTTCAAATGGGGTCCCACCAGAGCGTGTGCATCTGCTGTATCTCCTCGTGCCAGGGCGTCGCCAGGTACTGCTAATTCGGGAAGTGCCAACAGGACTCCATTTGCTCTTGTCAAAACCACACAAGCCATGCAATGTGTTGTATGAGGAGAAGCAAACCCCAAACCTGCAAGGTCCAACACATAGGGCTGAAACATAGCTGGGCCGAAGTCGGCATAGAGCGGTATAATCTCCTCCTCCTCCACCAACGCTGCTTCTGCTTCCATGTCTACTGAGGGAAGGGCACGTCAAAGTACCCTGCCCCTGCCAAGTAGACCTGAGTCTCTGCCTTCGAAGGGAAGCCGTGGCAGATGGTGTCTGAGCCCTCAAGCTGTCCCACAGCACCGAATAGTTCCCTGCTAGTCCTGTAGACCTTGGGCGAGCTGATGTTGGCGCCCCTGACCACTGCGTAGTAGCGGTTGCCGATGTCGATGGTTGGGGTCCTGTTCACACGTCCTGCCCGGACAGCTCCAGCCCAGCTCCCGGCCTTCCAAGCCCGCTGGATGCGCTGCTCTGCGGTCCAACCTGCTGAGGTGGTTGACAGAGAGGAGGCCAAAGCACGCAAAGTAGGAGGGCAAGCTGCGAATGAAGCCTCAATCGAATCCCTGCTCTCGTACCTTGTTGGCGGTGTCGACGGGTCCACCTCCTGCCACGAAGCAACACTGGGAGCCGATGAAGGCACCGGAAGCACCACCGGATGAGGGTATCCAGCAGAGCCAGAAGCACCGGTAGCAACAGGGCCAGCGTCTGAAGCCAACCGCTGAACAAATGCAGCAGCCTTTTCAGCGTTCCCCCGCACTGAGATCTGTAGCCCCTGGAACTCCAAGGACAGGTTAAGCTCCTCGTCTTCGCCGCGGGAGGGAGATGAGCGGATGCTCATTCAAGTAGGCCCTGACTCTCTCAGGAGGTAAAGGCGGCCTGGAGTTGGCTGAGGACGGAATCCAGGACGGACGTGAAGGCGGAAGTCCAAAGCACCAAACCGTGAAGACCACTGAAGTCAAAAGGCCAGAGGGAGGGCTGGAAGGAAAGGCCGCCACGGACAAAGGGAAGCCTGCCGCAGAGAGACGGACAGGCCGAGCCCCACCAGTGAGTCTGCACACCTGAAATCAGGAACCTAACAAGTTAGGGGCCCAATCCATGCACCTGAGTCTTGAGCACGAAAGATTGCACGTTCAACCTTAAAGAATGCAATTATATAATATTATATATATATATGATCTTTTTGTGGTGTTGGCTCTGGTGGAACCTTGCCTTCCAAGACTCTCTCTGCTTAGTCTAGCATGCATGCAAAGTCTCAAATGATAGAATGCACGAGAGCCAGCAGCAATGAGATAGAGACTGGGCATCTTTGGCAATGACAAAACTTCTGATTGTGTTGTGAACTAAGGCCGCACTGCAACGTTGGTGCTCGGCTGCTGTGGTCCATTTTGACCCCGATTCTGCTTTAGAGGCTATCCGCCACCCACCCAAAGGCGTCTGCACTGCATTTTGGCAAGCATCGGGCCGTGAAACAGTTGAACAAAGTTGCGCCTTTTCAAGTGAAACTCTGAAACTCTTCGCATCCCCACGGAGCAAGTGAGTACTACTGCCGGTGTCCCAAGCCAATCTTGATCCAGTCCATCGTAGCGCTATCTTCTCACAAGCTCGACATCCAAGCAACCACATCTTCTCCCAGCTGCATGAAGAGACGTGAAGAGTGAAGAGCATGAATCTCTACATTCGTCCGCTGAATGCCATGTGATGCTCTGATGTGCTCTTCATCCTCGAGGTATTGACTCTGACTCTTTGGCATCTGGGCTATTGGCTGTCCATGTCATGTCAACCCCGATGTCACAGACTGGCCATAGAGCTTGGAGCCATTCCATGTAGTGGGCCGCCTCAGTTGGGCACAAATTCAAACTGATTGATCCCACATATTGTATCAGGAGGCTTGAAGGCTTCCAAAGAAGTGCAAAGCACAACCAAAGGCGAGGGGTAGTGTATAGGTAGTGTATAGGTGGTGTATAGGACACAAACAAGGCACACAGTGTGGCAATCAGGGAATTGAACACACACGAGATGATACAGTGTGGTAGTGAAGGCAAAATGGAACTACAGCAAACGCTGCAGTACCCACAACGATCTGAGTGCAACTGCACAGGCCATCGAACGCAGCCAAGCTGCACGATGTATCGGTCGATGATCCTTCGAGCAGGCACGCCCAAGTTTGATACAAACAATCTCTAAAAGTAACGTAGAGAGCTCGTCAAGCTTCGCTCACACAAACACAAGCCTCTCTGTGTATTTCTTCGCTATGCTAAGTTGGCAGACGAGGATCTCCCAAGGTTGCCACAGTAGGGCAAAGCGCTTCACAGGCACTTCATGTTTCAGCAGTTGGAGCTTCAAGCGATGACAGCCTTGGCTTGGCAAAATTAAGCATTTGACATGGCTCTTGACATTGTTCAAGCAACTACGTAGCTGGTCTTGATCCAGGAGGCCCTACTTACTTACAAAAGTGCCACATGACTGAGTTTAAGCCACAAAAAAAGCATGTCAAGTTTGTCTGCAGACAGCGGTCCAATTCCTTCCTCTCCCACTTGCCAAGCAGCAGTCGTCAGACCTCCAAAACAGAAAGCACTACTTGGAAAATCCTCTGCAACATGCGCAGCCCGCACCTACAATTACAAAGAGTCTTAATCAAAATCATTCAAAATCCACACCAGCAACTAGGGCCAATGGATTTTTCGGAAAACGTTGCCCATTCAACTCGCAAAAGCACCTGATATTCTCCCTGGGTGAGATCCAACAGTAATCGGCCCCATCATAGTGCCGCCTCATCGCAAATGAGTGTGGCACAGGTATGACTCAGCATCCGTATAGCCAGCAAGTTCCAACGTCTCCCTCTCTTAGGAGCATACGTGCTGAAGTAAACATCTGCATGCTGACGTGGGATCATCGCAAATGTATCCTCAGGAAAGTGTTGCCCAAGAACAGGCCTACCAACATTGTTTTCCACTGAGAAAATTGTCTTCACACGGGCATACATTGCTGATAGTGACATGCCATTGATTCAATGGAAGGGACTAAATTAAATCAAATGATTCACGGTTGACTCATGTTGGTTAGTTCCCTAGTTCCACCTACCAACAAAGCACTGACAAGAATCTAAGAATTAAACCAAAGCTCATGTGCGTCAGTCCAGCTTGATGTGGGCAAATGCACTTTCCCTGCATCAAAAACGCGGATATCTCCGATGGGTACACCTGCAAAGTGACGAAAGCACAATCCATCCGGTTTCTGGACTACCAAAACCCTTTGCAGGCACCACTCGCTACTCACCCTCTAATTTGCAGCATCCCAACTTTCCCATCATAGCACATATCTTCACTTAAAGTCGTCAGGATAGTCCGCATAGTGGTGCAGCTCAACATGCCAAGTCGCTGAAGAACATGTCTGTGCGAACTCGTACCACCCAGTCTACTGGAGCACCTCGAAGCTGCCTCGATTGATGGGTGTGCTGTGCGCTGGCAAGTTGAAGTATTTGGGTTGCAATTCAGCTGGCAAGAATAGCACGGCTGTCAGTGAGACTTTCGACTTTCTGTTTAACACATTTTGAGCGAGGAAGCGGGTTGGGACCAGGATACCCTTAAATTGTATTAAATTGTTGTAACATGTTTGAACACGAGGCCTCTACCAGCCCTCAAGGCTAAACTCACTTGTGTTGTTCGGTCATCTTGGCAAGTGGCTCGAAGCTTTTCACCTGCTCCATGCACAGCTCCAAACGCCGCCACTGCGCATTGCAAGACATGGGATACTTCTCATGGCAACGTCTCCCCGGCGGATGTCCTAGCAATGTTCAGCAAAAACATCTACCCAGCCGGATCCCGAATGCAAAATCAGGAAGCACAAACAAGCAATGTGACGAGGTCGGGGGACGGCTTCAGAATGCAAAAAATGAGAGTTGTGATCAGGGCCTGGCTCCATCGCGTTCCACCGTTCCAAGCAAAAAGTTGCAATCAAAACTTGGTGCAAAGGGCTCTTATAGCCCCGTAGCTTCCAAGTATCTGGGTCAATGTCAAATCAAACAAGGGGCTAAATTATAGTGGCTAGGTCGGGGGGTTGTTGCAACCATCAGGCCAATCTGCAGTTTCAGTTTCCCGTCCTTCAATGTGCACCGGAATGTTCACAACGACGTCCTGAGAGGCACCAAACAGAACGGAGCAACGTTCCACGCAGCAGCATAAGCATAAGGGGGTCGTTCCACAACCATGGCACTGTTTGAATGTGCGAGCTTATCTTTCCTGCGTGCTTCCTTTAACCCCTGGCGTGTTGCGCCAGGGTTCGGGCGCGACTGTTTCCAAAGCATCAGCCATCTCTCCCCAACTTCGCCAAGGGTTGTGTCGTTCCTCCGCTGGAGCTTGCGGCCCGAACTCCGTGACAAGAACCGTGCGAAGATCTGAGAATCGAAGTGCATCAATGACCTTGAAAGCCACAAAGAAGCAGCTGTGAGCTGTGGCCACAACATGCCGCAAAGTCCTTCAGATTGGACGGTAGCAACCCTCAATGAATGAGGAACTAACAAGGACACAAGATGACACAAGAGCCTCTACTCTAGACAAAAGTGATCATTGCCATTGGGCCAACTAGAGTCACTAGAGGTTGAGGACATCCGATCAGTCATTGTGACCTTTTCAGGTCAAGCTACAATCTCTCTCTCTCCCTCTTGTGTCTGTCTCGTTTGCCGCTTCTTGCATAGCGACGTTGCGTCGTAAGCTTTCGTACACAGCTCTTTCCCCGAAGCTGCGCAGGTGCCCCACGATGCACACGACGCCGCTGGAATGCTGGGATTCATCAACATCACGCTCTAACTCGCGCATAGCCCGGTCGTAGATGGACTCCTCAAGCCAAGAGTCAACTAAAAGAGATCAAAAGAGGCTTCCCCCAACGGCTTGCACAGAAGAAGAGTGAAAGCCCGAGCTGAACACGCAAAACACCAGCCACCGCCCGTTGACACCCCTTGTGCCAGAATGCCAACCCCCGCAGCACCTTGAGCTTGGTTCCCTGCAGCAGCTTGGGATGCCCCGGAGGTTGGGAGCCCAACTCCATCAAGTTGCTGGCATGTTGGAAGATCTCCTGGGCCAGTCCAAAGAAAGCGGCTGTTTTTCTGACTCTGCGTGGCTTGGCTACTCTGAATGGCACAAAGTTACTGCGAGGAGGACATCTATGCCATCTATGCACACTCAAGTCGCTGCCAGACAAAGGCTCATGATGATTCACATGTTGCGGGCCACCTTTCTTCACATAGACCCACAAAAGTGGGATGAGGAGCCACTGGATTGCAAAGTCTTGGCAACGGCCTTTGGGGATGCAAATGCCGAATGTGGCCTAAGAGCACATGGACTGCCAATGTATATACTTCATCTTACATCTGCATCAAAATGAACTGATCATGTCTGACCTGCAGGCAGGAATATATACCTTTTTGTTACTTTGATCTGAGCAGCTGGGACATCCAAATCACCATCCATCGGCCAATGTTGCCAGAAATTTATGGGATCCCACTGGACCTCCAAGTAGCGACCCTCATAGAATCCTGTGATGCACCTCTCACCAGGAACATCATGAAGCACAGAAATGCACGGAGGTCAGGGTTGCTTTCTTCAAAGCCTGAGGTGTATCAGTCATATCTATATATATATATAGTGACGGACTTTTACTTAGAACCCTATTTGTTTCCAAAACTAATTTTCCCATGGCATAGAAACACAGAGTCCATGCAGAAGACTTAGAACCCCTGAGCGCAAGAAGACACTTAGAAACTTCCTGAAGGATAGTGATAAGTGTTGTCCACTTAAATATATTTCCGGCACTGCTAAGGGAAACACACTTAGAAATGACATCAATCACTTAGAAATCTTGTGGTTTGTTTAGAACATATATGAACAAGCCATGTTTCAGAGAAGACCTCACCAATCCACTGCAGTCACATGCATCGGGGAGCATCCTTTTTCGTTTGTGCCACCTTCCCTTAGGGATTAGAAGGGGTAAAAAAATAGTGTTTGAACCTTTACCGCCTCTGACACCACAGAAGAGTAGCTTTTACGGAAACAAGACAGACACTACCACTGTTATGGCACAAAAGCGGCACGTTTTCTTCTGGGCAGAAGCGGTGCAAAGAGCACCGCGGTACATCTGTGATTTGCAGGCTGTGGACTGTGGCGAGATAGAACAGTTTCCTTACAACAGACCGTGCTTCTATGTGTCTACAAATTGAAAGTACACCCATTTGATGGATGATAGGGCATCCAAGCCAACGCTTGCATTCATGCATGTTTATTTTGCTGTTAGATGTTTCTAAGTGTACGACATCGTTTCTAAGCCTGGGCCTGCGGGAATAGCAGGGGCGCAAGTTCTAAGTGTAGCCGCAATTTCTAAGTGTAATTAGGAAAGTTACCATGCACTCTAAACCCAAATTCTTTTTCCAAACCTGTTTCTAAGTATTTGAAGGGCAGTATATTATGAGCACGCGACAAGGGTGCTTTCCACTCATGACTCTTGGCTGATGGGAGGAAACCGTTCCATCAACACATCGCATCACATCAACAACAAATCAGAGTTTGTTGAGATTGAGAGGACGCTTGATAGAGTTCCAATTTACATGCAGGTTGCCGGTCACGGCCAATTTTGTGGTTCCAAACGTTATCAAAATATCAAAATTCTTAAGGCGTGATAATTGGGCATCAGTCTGGGGATTAACGTGGCACCTCGTCATTTGCTCCAGGACCTTTGCCCATGTAGCACCTGGCTCTCAGCCCAAGAGTTCATCTGCCCATCCAAACACGTCAAATGCTCAGAGGATCCCAGACTCTGTACCTGTTACTACTAGCGATGCACTTGTTACTAGTAGCTTCTTGTTACTAGTAGTAAGGCACTTGTTACTACTAGCGATGCATCTCCTACCTGGCACTGGTGGAAAGGCTTCACCGCTGGCACTGCAGGCGCTATCTTCTTCGGAGCTCAGCCCTTCAGGTGCTGGGCGGCCCCAGCGGCATTGCCTCGACAACCCGTCCCTACCATCCTAGTAGCGTCTTTGCTCCTAGTAGCGATGCCAGGAGCCCTAGTAGCGTCCTTGCTCCCAGTAGTAAGGCCAGGAGCCCCTAGTAGCTTTATGTTACAGGAGTCTCAGAAACAGAAGCGGGACAGGGAAGATTCAGCCTCGCCCACCAACCAACGCAATTGGCATCTGCATCGCCCTTGGAAGGGAAATGCAGGGTCAAAGCAAATGACAGTGACATCGGTTTTCTTACAAGAGTTCTTGCAGAAGCAACGTCACACAGCACCCCAGAACATGTTGAGGGTCTGTCAACTGTCAACACTAGTTGCCTACTACAATCTACTACAGCTTCATGCTTTCTTTAAATGGCTCACGAATGTGGACAATAATAAATACAGGGATTGGAGGGAGAGGCTGAATTGGCGCGGAACGGAATGGCAATGCGTGCTTTGTACCGCAAAAAGTGTGAACCTCTGCTTGATCAAAAGCCATGGACGATCTCGCTGTGCTCTCTGCACCTGCCAAGGTGCAATCTGTGCTGCCACGCTTCTTTGAGCGAGAAGCACAGCCAGGGCCACATTGGCTGCCAGCATGGGTCACCGAAACCATGGCAAGACGTTGGCGGTGAGTGTGAGAATCAAGCACCAGGCACCAGGTGCACACACAAATGCGTATATATACCGTATACTAGCCTAAATATTATATATACAGTGTATAAAATATATATATACTAGGTGTTTGTGTGTGTGTGTACCCAAGGGATGGGATTGACAGCTCTCCAAGGGTGATTCACCACTATCAAGGGGCCACTCATGTGTTTCTAATCACAAGTCTGTCGAAAGGCATCAGCGATACCACATGCTACAAGAGCGAAGAAGGGCCTGGAACAAGTTGACGTGCATGCCAGAATGCAAGCCCTACAGCAATGCTGGCATGATGGTAACTTGACACTTCCTTGAATTGAATTGATTACTGCGCTTCGAACTGGCTCCTTCACAGGAACTTTGGAGGTCTCGCGCGCTCGCATTTTCCACCCTCAACAGCAACCAATGTTCTTTTGTCTGCGATATCCAGAGCCCTTGCCTTGGTTGATCTAGCGCCACCAAAAGCATATCAAAAGTCTAGAAGCCGAAATCATGCTAGCATTGCTTAGAGAATGCGCTTGCAGCATGTTTGACCTTGAGACCTTGAGGCATCCTCGACTGCTTCTAATAAAATCGGGAATGAACAAGTCTTGCATGGCACTGTGTTGTTCCTGCATGAGAAGCATACAAATGGACTCGGGTGTTACTAGTAGTAAGGCACTTGTTACTACTAGTGAGGCACTTGTTCCATCTTGTTCCTAGTAGCGTGGCACTTGTTACTCATTACAGTCCTGGAGGACGGAGCGCCCAACCCTGTGCCACTATGTCACTATGTGCTAACTAGGGGCGCTGTGGCTTCTTGGGCTCTGCCGAGCTTACACTGGAAGTATTCGACGATTCCTCAGATAAGAACACTGCACAGTTGGGATGTCGGCTACAAACGCATGAAGCAAACTTAAACAAGCTGAGTCTCAAAGCTCTCTTTTTGTCGGGCAGCCGCCGGCAAGGTAGGCGCCCCCTCAAAATGTACAGCCGGGCTTCATAAGATCTGTTGAGTAGGTGCCACAAAACATGGACAGCGATACCAAATGTTTTGGAATCACATGCAGGCTCAGACTCATGATGCTCTCTCTATGGAAGACTGTGGGTGCAAGCCGAACCTTCTATCTACAGTCCGAAGCTTCAGCCATGCCTGCAACTCACTGTAATTGGGTGCCAGCCCAAAGCTCGTCTGTGCCGGATGCAGTGGTGACGCCTCCATTGTGTAGATGAATATAATCATCACACGCTGACTCAAACTCTTGCAACAAAAGAAACACGCTTCTTGGACCAAACTAAAAGGATTAAAAAGGTATGCAAAACGTCCATCAAGTTAGCAGCTACAAGCACGAGAACCATTGCAGGCCTGGGGATCCCAAAAGAAGCTGACTGTACATGGATCAAACGTGTACCCCAATGCAGTGCACAATTCGTTCCAGACGTTTCGCAGGCTTGCTCATGCATAGCTGTGGCCCCGGTAAGAACAATGATAAGAAAAAGAAAGTGGATAGATCCTACCAAACCTTTGCAAGGTGACCAAGTATAGAAGAGTAAACGAGGTGGACCAGAGATTCAACACGCAAAAGTGGCAGCGTATTAGACAAGCACTAGTCACTAGGCGGACACTCTCCCTTTCGGCAGTGCGGCAGGCTTGTCTAACGAGACCAAGATCCAAGGATGCAAGCCTCTGCCAATGGGCTGGTCGCCGTTTGCCTTCCAGCCAACATGCAAACACCCGGGAATTTCCCAAGGCTTCTTCTGGGCCTTGCATGTCACCCTGTTCTTGAAACATGCACATCATCCTGATAGACAGTATCAGTAACACATCTAACCCTGCACATCCCATCAACACAAAAAGTTCAGAAGCAGCAAGCTGCACTGTGACTGTGCCACCAAAGCCACAAAGCTTCGTAGAGAACAATGATCGGTGGGGCTGTGCGCATGGGAGGCAGAGTAGTGGGGACACTCGCCTCATGGCACCGCTCGCAGGGAACAAGTTAGCGCAAGGAAGAAAAGGCCTCCTCCTTCGACCTTCAAGTGCCAGGTCACACTCGAAAGGTTCAGCATAAGACTCCAATGCAGGCTGAGTGGCTGTATAGTGTCTGATTGGCCCCGGTGACATGGTGTATTCCCGGCTAGGTTCAGCCTTTTGCTGCACCGGGCTGCACATTTGCAGTATCCTCAGTGCAAAATAGCGTTGAAAAATACCTTGCATGCTGCAACACCAGCGAGAAGACATAATCATAGAACCCATGTGGACATGACTTATTCATGCGCAAAATGGGATGGCCAGCGGGTGATTCAAAGAAACCACCGTAACCATCATTAAGACTAGCAATGCCGAGGGTCGAGGATGGCAATGGCAAGCATGCATGAGTCTTCATTACGTTCAAATTCGCCACGCTGCGACTGGTGAGCCCTCGAAATCAGGCTCCAACAGGCCTTGAACCAAAAATGCAGGCTGTGGCCAAGCAAGCCCCGCCTGATCAATTCACTCGCCAACTAGTAATAACATGCAACAACTGCTGTGTGTGTGTGTGGCTGTGAAAAATTTTACGTATATACACATACATCTATAATTTATATATATATATATGAATACAGTATACATGCATATGTGACTAGATGTATGACTAGATGTAACTAGTAGACACCCGCAGGAGGCCCTCGCCCAGAAAAATGTATGTCTTCCGCAAATGGATGCCGCTGATTTTTGATAATCTATGATCTGTAGCGTTCCCACGTGTTGAGGCCCGTAGGCCCTTCAAAAACGATTGTTTGATTATTGATAGTACATTAATGTTCCTCATGCCTCCAACCTCTGCCCCTGCCCCTGCCTCTGCAATAAGCCCACACTGCACCACCAATAGCCTCTCAATGGGCATTCAACATGCTTTGCGATGATTTTCAAAGCCCTCAAACAAATCACATCCGTAGAAAGCCAGGAAACATCATGAAACGTTTACATCAGTTCGATCAATGATTCGCACTCAATTTCCAGGCTCGCCCATTTCACACAACCAAAGCCCACTCTGTGGGATGGTGGAGGTGCAGGAGCGACTGAGCTGCGGATGTCTCGAAAAGACACGAGAAAGAAACAATGCATTGCAATTGATCATTCCGTGTCATTCCCAATTCAATTCGGTGGGGTCCTTTTGTTAGGAGATACGAGGGTGCCACACTGCAAGAGCTGCTGGCAAGCCGAGCGACATGGACAAAAAAGCCCTCCTACCGCCTACCTTGTTCTGTGACCAGGTCAGCATCTATGCGCCAAGAAGTCCTCGGCATTCCATGTGTCGAGCTTCGCCCTTTTGCGGAGGCACATCTATTCCAAAGACTGTCCAAGCTAGGCAGCCTGCACGAGCCTGCAGCTAGGAGAGAGCTTCAGCGGGGATTGGTCAGAGCTCGTGCTTTCCGCCTCTTCTTCGCCAATTAGGAAGGAGTAGGTAACGTTCATTCCATGGTCCCTCTGAATCACTTGGGGCCTCTGCAGCACTCGCTGCCGATGATCTTTGAAGCGCAGCTGATCCATGCCACGGTCCATGACCATGATCAAGGCATATCGGTTGCAGTTTGCTAGGACGCCACGCTGGCCAAAGGCCACATGCAAGCGCTTCCAGAACAGCTTGGAGGCAAAGTTCATCGCCCAGCCAACGAGCACAACATCTGCTGTGAAGGTGCTGTCGTCCAAAAGCATGTCTGACAGCGAGGAGCAAAGCCTTGGGATTCACATGCAAGTGCAATTTCTCTGGAAATATGTCAAATGGATTTCAATTGGCTGATAAGAAACCAACATGCCATATGCATCCATATGCTCATTTACTATAGGTCCTTCTTCCTTGCCAAGCAGTATCAACCAATCTTGTGACATGTTTCATGCGTTGTAATGACGTGATAGAGTGTGCGTCGTGTGGTGTGGAATGAGAATGTCGTACAGTTGGCAAATGGTGAGTCGAGAAACTTGAAGTTGAAACCCAGCTTCTCGCTACACCAAGCCCATTCCTCCACAGGATCCAGCACGGTTGCGTGGATGCTGCATTGGTTTGTTTCGTCCTAAGTACTGCTGCGCTTTGCGACTCATGATCGAGGGCATGAGGCTGTTGACAGAATCATCAACAACAACAACAACACCACCAGCAGCAGCAGCAGCAACAGCAGCACCAGCAACAGCAACAGCAACAGCACGAGCAACAGCAACAGCAACAACAGCAACAGCAACAGCAGCAACAGCAACAACAACATCCCAGCACAACAACCCGTAGATCGAGCCGGAACCAAAAACACATCCAACCACTATCACCACTATGAATATTATCCATGGCAACAACGCTGTTCATAACGACAACCGGAAAGAACAGCCACCAACACGACAGCGCCAGCCACTGATGCAACAACGACAAAACCCAATCACACCCACCTGAGTGACTTATTCGTGTCTATCTTGGTGTCAACTAATCGTCTTCTACGGCTGATTCATGAGGGCCCTCCAGTACCACATGGAAAATTAGTGAAGCATCGTGAAGCATGAAGCAACTCCCAACAACGAAAAGTCTCAAACCATTCGTTGAAGAATTGGCAAGCACCAGCTGCGCAACATCCAGGGCCACCAGCCAGATCGACAATGCGCACATGCTTGTTCCTGCTTGCGGTTGACTTTGCGACTCCAAGATCAGGGCAGAGTGCGGCTAGTCAGTCGACCCCAACGTGGTGGGCGTGCAAAGGTGACACTTGAGTTCGGATTTGGGCCGGGTGTAGGCAAGTTAGCCAACAACTAGAGAAGATAAATGATCTTTTGGCAGCAAAGCCACCGAGGCTGATGGAGCTTGTTCAGGTGGTCGACCGAACCTATCTTAATGATTGGTCTGCTCGTGCGAAAAGTGACAAAAAGATCCTGAAACAGCGTAATACGGAATATGGCTTGCACGCAGCTAAAGGATCCATCCCGTTTCACGAAGGCCTATGGCTAAGCGGGGGCCTCCTGGCTAGCCCAACAGTATCGAAGATCGATCAAGGATGTAATCAATACTATGGTTAATTGAATTGGTTAATGTGAGCCTGTTCTTTAAACCCCTTAAATGTCTTGAATTGTCCAGAACGCCACAAATCAGCAAAAAGCACCAAAAAGTATATAATGTGCGCATATAGTAATTAGCCCAGCTGGAGACCCCAATAGCCAGATACAAACCGGGACAAAAAGAAAACTCTGGAAACAGCTGCTGTTTTCAACACATCGACCATCTCTTCCTTGGACACCATCATCACATAACCGGGACACCATCACAAAATGACCAGGGCACCATCAAAACATGACCGAGACACCGTCACAACATGATTGGGACACCATCACAACATGACCGGGACACCATCACAAGGTGACCGGGACACCAGCATGACATGACGGGGACACCATCACAACATGACCGGGACACTATCACAACATGACCGGGACACCGTCACATGACCCGGACACCATCAAAACATAACCGGCACACCGCCAAAACATGACCAGGACACCATCACAACATGACTGGGACACCGTCACAACATGACTGGGACACAATCACAACATGACCGGGACACCGTCACAACACGACCGGGACACAACATGACCGGGACACCATCACAACATGACCGGGACACCATCAAAACATGACCGGGACACAATCAAAACATGATCGGGACACCATCGCAACATGATTGGGTCACAATCAAAACATGATCGGGACACCATCAAAACATGACCGGGACACCAACATCACATGACCCGGACGCCATCAAAACATGACCGGGACACCATCCGCCCACCAGCTCTGACGGTGACCCGACGGCGCCCGTCCGCCTATTAGTTTTGCAAGACCCCATAGCATGGCTATTGGGGAATATTGTAAATACACATATGTATAATACCTTTGGAGTTGTTTGTGCGTTTGCTCGTCTTAACATGTCAAATGGTGTCAACTCCGATAAGAATCATAACGATGTATATAAGACTAACAAACGTAGAAGATCATATTACAGTAATTAAACAATATGAGCGTGCTTGTGAGTTTGTACATAAGAAGCAACGGGTGATGGACTGACATGAAAGGCTTGCAAGTGCCCGGGGTTCAGTGTGAGATGTAAGCAAACAGAACCGCACCCGTTCCTTTTGCGAAATGTCATCTGAAAGGGTTGAGTCACAGTATGCTACCAATATCATCCAATATCTACCAATTATTCCCGGCCATGTGGTACAGGGTGGGAGGTCACTCAATGTCCGAACCCCTAGCTTGGACGTGCCCTGCCCGGAGCGCTATCAAGCGCAACATTGCAGACTAGTCAACAACAAATACAGCATTAGCTAACACCACAAGGGTTGCTGCATGCGTCCTCTTGATGTGCCCGAAGAAACGTTGCCAGGGTATAGTATGTTCATCTTTATCTGTCTCCAACTTTTGGTCACTTTGCTCATTTATAGCGGCCAGCTCTTTCAACTCGTGCAATTCTGCTTTGACAACTGCAGCTCTGGCTGAAAAATACTCCTGGATGTAGGCAACTTGAAGCTTGTAATGTTTGTACACGTGTGCTCTCCAAGGTTTGTCTACCATCTTCAGCGCAAACGTGCGACCCCATGCCAGGAGCCGCTCCATGAACTCACCATCTGTACAGAGCTCCATGCCCTTCTGCCAAAACCCCGTCCATGCCGAGATTCCAACACCTGAATCGCCTCCTGAGCGGTGGCGCTATTGACATCAGCACTGCGCAATACCTTTAATGCCTCTGCATCTTCTGCACTGACACAGCGTTGCAAAGCCAAAGCAGCCTGGCTAGTGGCTAACGACCCCTTTGACGTTTCGAAACGTCATCAAATCAAGTGAGCTCTGCAAAAAAAAGTATGATTAAACCCCTATGTCGCATTACTTTGTAAGGCTCCTGCTTACGCTTTTCTTACGCGACCACAATGTGAGCTTACGCGCCACGGATGTTGAAGAAGACCTTACGCAGATCTTACGCTTCTGTATTTTTACAAATGAGAACCATACTCCCAAGGGAAATGCTTCCGCGAAGGCTCCTTTTTGCAGGTGAGCGGAGGTAGGCAAACGAAAAGTTGGCTTACGCGAACCTTACGCGGAGCTTACGCGAACCTTACGCCACCAAACCCTCACCAAACGGAGCCTGGCATGTTATGAGATGTCATGATGGGCTGACTTGAGAAAGGTTTGATACAGAGTGGCACACACAAACAAGCACAGTGCACACACCTGAAACACAGGCACAAATGTCAGTTCCCAAGGTCCATACAGTTCCTTTCTTGACAAGTGTGTGCTAGGAACCTACTCATGAAAACACGACCATATGGCAAGCTTACGCAACATGCATGTCTCACAACTCCCTTACGCAACCTTACGCTTTTCAGGTTTTTGCTTACGTCCAAGTTCCATATGACAAGGCCTTTACTTAGTTCATCTTGGGAGGTTTCTTGCGGTGCTCAAGTGGAAAAAAGGGAGGCATCAAACCCAAAAAAAATCAATCCCAGCAACATTCTCTCCACCCAGCTTCCACAATGGCCCCGGACCCTCTGATTTGAGCCGCTTGCGCGGCAGGCTTTCAGATGATGGCATCAAGGCATATCAAGGCTGCATCGCAATTTTGTGTACAAGCTCCCAATGATTCCAGATCCAAGGGAGTCAACCCAGGCACATGCCAGCCAACCTAACAAAGGATCTTCACGAAGCCTCATATAATGGCTCTTACACTTGTTGTTCTCAAGCATTTGTGTATATCTTTGGGGTCGTATTGTATATCTATGTGGCTGATGTTGCGCCGTGAAAGCCTGCAAGTGCTCAAAAATAAAGCCAAATCTTGCAAGCATCCCACCAAGTTCGGCCAAGTGGGACACAGCCTCTGTTTACACTGCCTCTGTCTACTCTCTGCATGTGAACAACTCACAGGCAAACGGAGCAACCGTCTTCTGAACCACGTGCTTGCATTCCCAGACCCTACTTCAAACTGCAATCCTTCCAACTGACTGTGCCAATTTCAACTGGCGGGCTGACCTTGTAAAATCAACAGGGTGTACAAGTCCAACATGAGCTCAGGCCTGTTCTGCCTCAGTGGGTTCTCACAGCTTTGCGGACTTGGACACGCGGCATGCGTGCCAAAACATCATTTTCGTTTCCATGAACGACACTGCTGACATTTCCAGATGCAAACATTCGGGTTGGGGAAAGGGTGCCGGGCACCTTCTCTAACCACAAACAAATGCAACATAATAATGCAACACCAAGAAATGTCTCCAGGATCACTGCTGCTTCTCTGCCGCCTTGGCTCTTCCACTGTTTGACCTGAAACTCGTCTCACGGGCACCCCAACACATCAATAACATAGATACAATGGATCCGCCATACACTTGCGACAACAGTTTTGCCGATCACTTGCGACGAAAACCAGCATCACCAGCATCATGGGTGGGGTGGGGTGGGGCGGGGTGGTGTATGCGAACGTTCAAAACCACTTGCAGACCTCCACACGATCCTCATCACCATCAGCATGGGTGTGTGATGGTGTACGCTAACGTCTAAAACCACTTGGGGGGTGGGTTGGGGTATGCTAACGGTCAAAACCACTTGCAGACCTCCGCACGATCCTCATCACCATCAGCAAATTAGGGTCACAAGCGAACGCCTCACCCATACAAAGCCTGGCTGACGCTTCCCCGACGCCTGTCAACATTCAGTGGCTGTCCAGCCTTCGTCGGCCATGCCTTGGCTCTTTCTCACGGGCGCCTGCGCACTTTGAGGTGGACTACGATCATTCGATTGCAAAACATATCGGGATTATTCATGCCTGACTGAAAGGGTGGTCATTGGCTTGTCTTGTGACAAAAGATTGAGAAGGATTGCCATCCTTGATCCTGATTGGACTGTTTGTTTCTCTGCTTTTTTTGCACCTTTTATACCTTTTATCTGGCCCGCGCCGTGTGAAACTCTCCACCTTAAGTATTCGTGCATTGTCTGCTGCAGCTTGCTTGCATCAGCTCGCCACAAGAATGTGACTCCGTGCTCGGGATGCATGTTCACCCTCTGCTTAGCTTCGTTCAGGCGCCAGGTGCGAGACAATCAGACAGCATCACTGCTCAGGGTTGTCAGGCGAGCAGCTCCAAAACAAACACGCTTCGAGGCCATTCCACGCCAGCTTTGGGAAGAGTGCATTCAATCCATCTTCTGTGCAGCTTTTAGCTGAATTGCTGCCGGCCGTTCCCAGTTCCAGAATGGATTTGACCCGACATCAGCATAGATAATCAGCTGCGTGGTGATGGTTCAATCAACTCTTCGGGTCTCTCACACCGCGTTTCTCGCCGCAGCAATTCTTTTGGCAAGCCTTGTGTGAAGGGGAGCCTGGAATCTGCCAACAATCTCTCCAAGAAGTCATACCTGGCAACTGAAGACCAAAACCAGTGAAAAAAATCTATACACACACAGTCACACACACACACACATATATATATATGTAACATGTTGTAAAGTACGTAAATAAAACTTCACAGAACTGTGCCCAAAAATGCGGAGTCAAATTCGGTCGGCATCATTTTTTATAATCCACTCAAAGCTGCTCCGAAGACAGCAACACTTTCAACAGGTTGACGAGGGTTGAGTTCCTGCAAAGATCAGTTCGATGCCCTGGCCGATGATTGTGTCGCCCGAGGCGAACCTCTGCCGAAACCACGGAAACGCCTATCCAGCCTGCAATCTGTACAAAGGTGTCCCAGGCGGATTCGCGCATATACGCTTGATGCACCACACGCAGCCGGTGTTGGTAGAGTTGCTTCAAGTGTTCCACGTGCCGCTGGACCTTGAAACGATCAAGGAAGCTGGGTTCAAGCACGCTGCTGATGCTTTCAAAGCAGCCCTTGGGCCGCACTAAGGGAGCAATCTCTGGATGGGGCAAAGGTGGATCACAAATGTGATACCACCAAAAAGCTTTATCAATGCGACTGAGTGGGTCACAAACCACTAGCAGCACCTTCAACTGTGGAATCCGTGCCAATGCCATCCTGACCCGAAGATGCGCCCATAGATTAGGATGTCTCAAAGCCTTCAAGGTTTGGCGACTCTTCCATTGAGAATTGAACTCTTCTACTTCTGACCGGAAGGGCAGCAGCCGGTCGTTTCGGAAAAAGAAGTCGTCCTCTTCACCCAAATTCGACAATTCGATGCTTTGCACCTGTTGAAGCCATCGGCCCAAGGAAGTGGTCCCGCAATTGTCAAGACCTGTAGTGAGACAACAAAACAGCAACGATGATAACTAGGGACTAGGGAGCAAAAAGAGAAAGAAAGTGATAAAACAAAATGTTAAAAATGATTAAAGAAATGGAAAATATGTATTTGTGGTCGTTGAAGCCTGCAATGATCAAATCCAGTTGAAATTGGGACCAATGGGACAATTCCGTCACATCCAGCTGTGGCTCTCCAGGCACAGGGAACGGAATCGGAGAGTTGAGGACATTCATCAAGTATCCTGGGCTGCCCAGTTGTATGGCACAAACTCCTATAACAAAACTCCATGCAAGCACATTCTCTCGCGTGACAAAAAAAATAGTATTTTTAAAAAAGAAACGACAATTTGATATATATATATATATGTGTGTGTGTGTGTATGTGATATATGCGATACAACCGACGAACCGGAACACAAAAATGGTGAAGGTTGCCTGTTGCGTCCAACTCCCAGCACTCAAACTTACGTCAAGCCTAAGCGGAAGCCTTCCCTACACATTCGGGACCAAGAACTACAATGGCACCACAAAAACAAAGTCCATGTTCATGTTCGTGATTTCATGTTGAATCATATTGAATCCAGGGCACCTGGAGACACTTCCTCTCTGATTTCAGTTTCGCTGCAAATTTCTGGGACACATAGCCCAATGAAGACCTTGATCGCCAGTTCTTCCACCCGTTTCCGCAGCTCTGCACACCCTTCACATTCCACGGAAGTTCCCAATTCGTGAATCCAGCTATCGAAGTAAAGGTTCCGGTTCAAGGCAAGCTCCCAGTATTTGAATCCTAGCACCCCGCGACCAAAGCAATAGTTGCTAGTCGGTAGCTCGAGAAATTGCAAGTTCAGGCTGTTGCTGCCACTTCGGTACACATGTTTATTCAATGGATTCAATTTTCCCGCATCAAGGACTTCACCTCCCACTCTCCACACGCAAGAATATAAACACTAAAATAGTGATAAGAACCTACTAGCACCGCGATTCTTCACAAAAACATCATGTTGGCACACAACGAACCACGGCCTTGGGACCAGCAGTAGGATGCGGATAACTCTGACATATTCAAGACGTAAGCTGCATGGATGTCCATCTCACTGGTGTGTTCCCAGTAATCAATCTTGGCAATGGTGGAACCACCCGACACGCTGCTCAGGATCTCGAAGTTCGCGGGTTCAAAGAAAGCATCCCGGCATTTCTCAGCTGAAACCATTGTCAAGCCTGGAAGAATCACACAAGGCACGACCTCCACCACATCACTGCCCGTACTAGGCACCTTGTCACGATTACCAAAATGCGCATGGAAAAATGCAGCTGGGCCAATGAACACCGGAATCGGCTTAATGAAACTCATCCGCAGGTCTGCAAAACAGTGGTTATTTATGATTCATGATGGAAAAGCACGCGGGTTCATAGCAGGTGGTTTGCTTTGACTCCCCCATGCCCCACGCTCCGGGTAATGCAACTGCCCGATGAATTG